TCCCAGGCCACGCCCCCGCAGGGGTCCGGGCGACACCGAGGAGCGATACAGGGGAGAGCTGGTTCTGCTGTCACCGCCATGGAAGGGCTGGGGAGACCGCGCCGGCGTTCTGCCGCGTTCTAGACAAAACAACCCCAATTCCTACTCCGGGAGCAAGCTGCCAGTGCCAGGATCCGTCTGCTCTGCTTTTCCTCTCCCACTGGACTTCCAGCGTCGGTTTGAACTGGGGACCAGCCGGGTGTGATCGTCACGAACAAAGTGTGGTTCTGATGGCTGCTAAATCAGCCCTTACTTCTGCCAAGAGATCTTAAGAAGTAAGAGAGGGAAAAGTCTGCTCGCATAATCTTTTTTAAAAGGGAAAGACCAGTGTTGTGTTTTTTTTTTTTCTTTTCTGTTTGGATTTCTCTTTAAACTTCTGAAAAATGGCAACAGCAGCGTATGTGGATCATTTCGCAGCAGAGTGCCTTGTTTCTATGTCCAGTCGTGCTATTATCCATAGTCGCAAAGGGGAGCCCGGTCTCCAACCTGATGCAGCAATAGCTGCTTCTTCAAACGGAGAAGAGAAGCGGGAAGTCAGAGAAACCGGGAAAGACAATGGATCATCGTTACTTGTGGTAGCTAGTATTTTAGCAGATCTGAACCAGCATGTCCCAAACTCACCCACTCTAAGGATGGAAAAAACAGAGACCTTTGATATCACAGAACAAATACACATTTCCGTTGCTCCTAAGGAGTTTGGGGAAGAAAGTGTGTCTTTGGCTGGTAAGCGTGGAGGAGGAAGAGCAGCCACACCTACTAGTCTGGCTGCAGTAACTGAGCCAAGCCCCAGACAAAAGAACAAACGCACGAGAAGCTGGACTGACCCTGGATCACCCCAGAAAAAGCACAAATGCCACTATGTGGGGTGTGAAAAAGTTTATGGCAAATCTTCCCATCTTAAAGCTCATCTAAGGACCCACACAGGTTAGTTACAATCCAGCCAGAGATTTATTTGTTACAGCTTGGTAATTAAAATGAATGTTGAAAAAACAAAACCAAACCAACTTGTATTTGGCCACCATTATGGTTTCACCTCTCAGAATTCAAGCTCGGGAAAACCAAACAACAACAACAAAAACAACCCTCCTGGGAATAAACCCTTACTGGGCATAGATTGAAAGCTAATATTGCCCTTTTTTATTACTTAATGTCACAGGGAATGGTGTGTGGGTCATCTGTGTGGACTGTACCAAGCTGTAATTTTTAGCTGCTAGCCGCCTTGTTCCATGCGTCTTCTACTTCCCTTTCCAATGCTTCCTACCCTCCCCCATCTGCTTTTTCCTGCCCCATGCTCCTGTCTCTACCTTTATACCAGCTTATCGCTTCCCATGCAAACATCAATACCCTTGATTTTTTAAAATTAAATGTTCCAGGGGCACCTGAATGACTGTGTGTCTGTGTCTTTCTTTAGCAGACACTCGTGTGAAAGCTAGAGTAGGCAGGAAGGCAGTTGAGAGACTGAACATGAGTCACAAGGAGACATTTATCCTACGTGTAGAGAGAGGAGGACATGGGCAGTCTCAAAAAAGCTTTTGGCAGCTAAGTAAAACTGATTTCAAAACACTAAAACATTTGAATGCAAACACAAACTTGTTCTAATCAGTGTTCAGTGTTTACTTCTCAGTGAAGATTTATCTGGCCACTTTTTTGTAGCTATTGTAATTTATGACACACACACACACATAGAAAAAGTGGAAGTCTTGCAACACTGTGAAAGTTATGCACTGAAAGTGTTAGGAGGGCCATCTTGAAACAGGCCCCGTGACTTGCCGGACCTCGTGGTTCTGCCTGGTGCCAGGGAACAGGATGGCTTCCAGTCTGACAGGGAGCACCAGAAGTTAAAGAGACTGATCTCTGCTGAAGGCGCTGACCAGACTGCATATGGTGAGGCACCACACCAACTAGAGCAGTGTGCAGGCTGTTCCACTGCGTAATTTCAGACAACAAATTAGTTTACCAAGATCTATGGTCAGTTCACTTATAAAGAGAATTAAGAAGGAGATCCTCAGAATTACGCATGACTTAATGACTCTTGAACAGTTTTAGCTCAGAGGTGGCAGCCTCACCCATGCCAGTGTGCCTCCAGCTTTTCCTGCTGCCTTCCTGAGATAAAGCAAGAGCCCTTCTAAATTAAGGATATGTTTTGCTCCCCATGGGAGAGAAGAAAGCCCGATCAAGATTGAGTGTAGAGATGGACAATTCCCTGTGCCACACAGCCAAAGGAACAGCATGTTCCAGGCACCCCAGGCAGCCTGCCCTGCTTTGCACTGGAACTGCTTTTTGCCTCCTTGGGAAAGGTGTTTCCGCTTGCCTTGGGGGGAGTTGTTGCCATTAATTTTCAGTTCTTTTGCTTTCCTGTTTCTGGCATTTGCCGTTGTCCTAAAGGTGAAAGGTAAACTTGGCACTGCTTCTGGGCTCCCGAACCAACTGGAGCCCAAGCAGGGGTCCTGGTGTTGCTGCTGGCTGGCGGGGGGATTTTCAGTTCTTTTGCTTTCCTGTTTCTGGCATTTGCCGTTGTCCTAAAGGTGAAAGGTAAACTTGGCACTGCTTCTGGGCTCCCGAACCAACTGGAGCCCAAGCAGGGGTCCTGGTGTTGCTGATGGCGGGCGGAGGGCTGGGTGCACCCAGGCGGCAGGGGCGGGAGGCTGCTGGGGAGCGTCGCTGCGAGGACCCACACAGGTTAGTTACAATCCAGCCAGAGATTTATTTGTTACAGCTTGGTAATTAAAATGAATGTTGAAAAAACAAAACCAAACCAACTTGTATTTGGCCACCATTATGGTTTCACCTCTCAGAATTCAAGCTCGGGAAAACCAAACAACAACAACAAAAACAACCCTCCTGGGAATAAACCCTTACTGGGCATAGATTGAAAGCTAATATTGCCCTTTTTTATTACTTAATGTCACAGGGAATGGTGTGTGGGTCATCTGTGTGGACTGTACCAAGCTGTAATTTTTAGCTGCTAGCCGCCTTGTTCCATGCGTCTTCTACTTCCCTTTCCAATGCTTCCTACCCTCCCCCATCTGCTTTTTCCTGCCCCATGCTCCTGTCTCTACCTTTATACCAGCTTATCGCTTCCCATGCAAACATCAATACCCTTGATTTTTTAAAATTAAATGTTCCAGGGGCACCTGAATGACTGTGTGTCTGTGTCTTTCTTTAGCAGACACTCGTGTGAAAGCTAGAGTAGGCAGGAAGGCAGTTGAGAGACTGAACATGAGTCACAAGGAGACATTTATCCTACGTGTAGAGAGAGGAGGACATGGGCAGTCTCAAAAAAGCTTTTGGCAGCTAAGTAAAACTGATTTCAAAACACTAAAACATTTGAATGCAAACACAAACTTGTTCTAATCAGTGTTCAGTGTTTACTTCTCAGTGAAGATTTATCTGGCCACTTTTTTGTAGCTATTGTAATTTATGACACACACACACACATAGAAAAAGTGGAAGTCTTGCAACACTGTGAAAGTTATGCACTGAAAGTGTTAGGAGGGACATCTTGAAACAGGCCCCGTGACTTGCCGGACCTCGTGGTTCTGCCTGGTGCCAGGGAACAGGATGGCTTCCAGTCTGACAGGGAGCACCAGAAGTTAAAGAGACTGATCTCTGCTGAAGGCGCTGACCAGACTGCATATGGTGAGGCACCACACCAACTAGAGCAGTGTGCAGGCTGTTCCACTGCGTAATTTCAGACAACAAATTAGTTTACCAAGATCTATGGTCAGTTCACTTATAAAGAGAATTAAGAAGGAGATCCTCAGAATTACGCATGACTTAATGACTCTTGAACAGTTTTAGCTCAGAGGTGGCAGCCTCACCCATGCCAGTGTGCCTCCAGCTTTTCCTGCTGCCTTCCTGAGATAAAGCAAGAGCCCTTCTAAATTAAGGATATGTTTTGCTCCCCATGGGAGAGAAGAAAGCCCGATCAAGATTGAGTGTAGAGATGGACAATTCCCTGTGCCACACAGCCAAAGGAACAGCATGTTCCAGGCACCCCAGGCAGCCTGCCCTGCTTTGCACTGGAACTGCTTTTTGCCTCCTTGGGAAAGGTGTTTCCGCTTGCCTTGGGGGGCGTTGTTGCCATTAATTTTCAGTTCTTTTGCTTTCCTGTTTCTGGCATTTGCCGTTGTCCTAAAGGTGAAAGGTAAACTTGGCACTGCTTCTGGGCTCCCGAACCAACTGGAGCCCAAGCAGGGGTCCTGGTGTTGCTGATGGCGGGCGGAGGGCTGGGTGCACCCAGGCGGCAGGGGCGGGAGGCTGCTGGGGAGCGTCGCTGCGGCCTGCGGCTAAGCAGGGTCATTCGGGGACGCTGGCCGGCCTCCAAGTTCACCGGCTTTTTTCTTTTCCCTTTTCTTTCTTTCTTTAACTCTTTATTTCCTGTATTTTTTCCAGCTTTGTAGGGCTTAATTGGTTATTGCTACAGCTAATGGTACTGAGAGAAGAGAGCGTGTGCGTGTCTGTGAGAGCTGGAGGAAAAGCAGAGAAGGGACAGGTTTTGCCCTGGGAGTGGCAGGGGCCCCGGGGGGCCCAGCTTCTTTGTTTTCTTGCGTCTCCAGTGTCTGTGTGGGAAGCTTTAAACAAAGCTGCCAAGTCTCCCTCCTCACTGCCAACAGGTCTATCTCTACTTGGATTGAGTTCTAAACGGGCTTAAATGCTTCTTACTCCTCTTGCAGAATGTTTTCTATGGTGTTTAAATTTTTTTCTTTCTGTAAAAGAAATTGTGACAGGCTTGAAAAAAGTTTATATGAAACTAGGAATTAAGCTAACAGGACAAACAATGACTTCCAGGACTGGCAAATGTTTGTTTTCACAAAACACATAATGAGTTTTACAGATTTAGAACAAGGGTTTTGGGTCTTCTCTGCTTTCCAGTGGTCCAGAACTAGCTAAGTAACACATACACATCAGTCTGCCAATCTGTCAAGCAGATAGGGTGACGGCTGTGCATGTCACCAGGCTGGGGAGAAAGTACTTCAAGTACACATGCTACCCGGCAACTCCAAAATCTGTTTACTAAGAAACAATCAAAAACTTCTGCTATGAAGTGGAACTTCTTCCATGTGCTATATGACTAGATGAGCTAGTATTTAGGGGTGAACTAAAGGCTAAGAAGAGTCCTGCAGGCTAGAAGATACTGATGATAGTGCTAGAGGTACTTCAGTAGTGCAGTTTATGACCTGCTTTAGAAACTTGCTTGTCCTTGTCTGCTACTGTGGTCAGAAACAAAAGGCTTTGCTCTTCGTGCTTGGAGGAAGGGTAGACTAGATAATTGAGTTTATGGTGTGGCAAAGAGACACAGAGCCTTCCAAGTACTGTTGGGTCAAATTTAGCCCACATTGGTAGGGACTGAAAGCTGGTACTATTTTCCACCTGTTTGGTGCCCCGTGTGAAAACTTTCTGATAGTTACAGCCAGATTTCAGTGCTCAAATGTCCAAAGCAAAAACCGTAGTGCGGAGGATGCTAATTATCCTATCTAAAGCAGAAGAAACAAGGTGGAACAGCCAAGGAAGTAGCATCTGTCTTTAGTCCTTAGGCCCTTGCTCTGAGTACAGTGTTTTAGAATGAAGTTCTCCAGTAGAACATAATGTGCTAGAACAATCTATAGTTTCTTGTGTGTGGTACACTAGTGGTTAAGCTGTCTCAGCCTTAGGAATACTTCATCTTATTAAATTGACAAACCCTTCAACCAAGCAGAAAACATTAGTCACCAAAATCCTTGCTGTTCTCTCCACCAGCTTTCAAACTCTTCCCCTCCCCCTAGGTTTCTTTTCATGTTTATGTTTCCCACCCTACTCTCTCACTGTATGTCCTGGAGTTCAACGTGATCATCAGCCAAAAAGCCCCTGAAGTTTTAATGTTTACCAGAAGGTTATGTTTAGTGTCAGTGAGTAGATGTCAAGTCCAAATTCTTTTCCACTGA